CATTCATCTTAGCTAAGGGTGGTGATATAGGTCCCTGTTTGGGTTTAGGGAGGATTAAATGAGATTCTGCTCAGGAGCCCTTATCCCAGAGCCTGCACACAGGAAGTTCTTTATAAATGAGGACTGATGCTCTTCTCTGTAGCCAGCTGAATCCTGCCCATATTCCAAGTACCAGCTCCAGCCCCTTCCACTCTGTGAAGTCCTCCAGGAGCCCGCCATGAAAAAAAAGCCCACCAGGAATTCTTCTGAAACACAAGTTATCTGCACCCTTCGTCTTTTTGGGGCAACTCTTCAGGGCTCAGGCCTCATCAGGCCCTCCAAACAACAGGATACAGAGCACTGAGAGCTTTCATTCTTAGAACTCCCAAATATACAAGAATCATAAGTAATAGCTTGTGGATTACACACAATCACGGATAGTGCAGGGGCTCAAAACATGGCCTTGTTCATTCCTGTAGCTGGGATAAACTTTCTTGTATTCTATGATTCGATGTATACCAGAAAAGGCTGCCACTCCCCACACCAGTGTCACCAGATGAACTTTTTGGGTTCATCCTGTCTCCCTGCTCCCTCTTCTTTTAAATGTAAAATCTTTGCAGCAAGAGAGTTCATACTCGCCTTAACCTTGAGTGAGTTTCCTGATTTTTCTAAGATAGTATTTTTAATTGCAAATTAAAGCAAGGGAGATGAATCCCAGAGAAGACCTAATCTACTTTATAATCAATCTGTCTGTTCATTCTGCCCATTGTACACTCGTTCAGTGAGCATTTCTTGACTATCTCCTGTGTGCCAGGCACTGTTTGCCCCTGCAGGGCTGGTTCTGCTGGGAAAGCCCTTTCCAAGATTCTGAGCAGGGAATTCTCCAGTCTTCCAATGCTTCTTTGGCAGCTAGTGTGTCAAATATCTCTGAATGGTTATAAGGGAAATAAAAAGACATTCAACTGAGCAACTTTAATTCAAGGGCAGTGATTTATTTATATCTTACCCTGAGTACCTCCTGTGTTTCTGGGCATATGGTAGGTTGGTAGGGTTAAGTGGATGGATGGATGGATGGTTGGATGGATGTTGTAGATAGCAGGAGTGTTAATTGGAGCTCCCCAGAAACAGATTTGGAGATAAGGATTTGAGTGTAAGCCATTTATATGCCAGCCGATCCCAGGAAGTGTTGATAAAGGAGATGGATAAGAGAAGGAAGCCAACAAATGGTGTGTTATCAGGCAGGTTATCATTCCGATAAGCATCTGGAGACTTACCAGGCATTGAACACGGAATGTCTGCCTGAGCTTCCTTTCTCCCTGCTTAAGTGAATAGTCATGGAATTCAGATGTTCTAAACAAGCATGAGAATGCACAAATATTATACATGTTTGTTGCCTTCAAATAAGGGAGCATCTTCTTTACCATCCTTTAAGACCAGGGACTTCCTGGAGTTGGCCCAAGATCTTGGGTGTGAATTCAGTATGTTTTGCAGCAGGTTTAAGCAAAGTTTCTAGAAAATTTATCTTTTTCATATACAAAGAAATGGGTTTGTTCAAAGTCACTCATATATTTCAGGACAGTAGTTACTTTTAACACCATCTGAGTTCATGTCCCATCATCACTTCTTAGCTCCCTGACCTGGAGCAGGCTACCTGAACCCCCTTTGCCTCAGTTTTCCCATCTGCAAAATGGCAGTAATAATATCATGTATCTCAATAAGGATGTTGAAGTGATTAAGTGAGGCTATGCTTGTTAAGTATTTATGAGCCACTAGCAAAGAATAAGTGCTCAATAAGTGCAAACTATTCTTATTATTGCTTGGAATGCATAAAAATGTATGCTGGGTGAATTTAAAAATTCTAATTCTTTTAACATTATTAAAAACACAACCATAATGGGAACATACAGATGGATAAAACAATCTGGGCTTCTAATAAACATTTTGAGCATATGTTGTAAGCATTCTACTAAGAAAAAAGATGATTCAGGTTCATCATCTAATGTCGACAAAGCTGAAATAAAAAACTTAATTATGTTAATTTAATCCTCTGGTGTCAATCCTTAAAGAGACCAAGACTTAAAGGTATTTCAAACTCAGCTTTCCCAGGGAGGGCATACAAAGAAAAGGCAAGATTGGGGCACCTGGGTGGCTCAGTCAGTTGAGTGTCAGACTCTTGATTTCAGCTCGGGTCATGATCTTAGGGTTGTGAGATTGAGCCCCACATTGGGCTCTATGCTCAGCAGGGAGTGTGCTTGGGATTATCTCTCCTTCTCTCTCTGCCCACCCCCAATAAAGAAAGAAATCTTCTAAGAAAAGGAAGGTTTAGGAAAAAAAAAAAAAAAGTAAATGCAGGTTTAGTCAGCTTCTCTTGGTATACACTGGGAAAGACTGATGGGTGTCTTGTGTTTGAAAATTAAATTCTCATTGGTTAGATTTCCATGACCTTCACATCTTGACATTTAGGGGGAAAAATTAGATCGTTTTTTGCACTGTGCTCCACATCTATTCGATAGATCACCTAGAAATTGTATTCAGCTCCTAGGAACTGTGACTTCAAGCATTGTTTTAAATCAAACAGATTTTTTTCCTCTTACAAAATAAGTATGGAGTTAAACAATCCAAAGCAAATATGGTGACTACAAAATATCATGACGGACAGGACCTAGGCTCCTTCCAGGTCCTAAGGTATGATCTCTGTCCTGATGCCTAGAACATGGATACTGGAGCTCCAGTCCTCATTTCAGTGCTCCAGGTAGCAAATGATGATGCAGGGAAAAGACAAGTGGGACCTTCTGGCTAAGTCATCCCCCTTAAAAAGCTTTCCCTGTAAGCCGCACTCAATGACTTCTGATTATATGTCATTGCCTATATACACCTCTATAAAGAAGGCTGGGACTTTTTAGTGGGTACCTTACCACACCCACCAATATAGAGATTCTGTTAGTAGAAAGAAAGGGAAAGATCATACTGCTTAGATTTGCTAGTGTGAGCTCTTAATAAACTTGTTCAGAAAAAGATAAAAGGACAGGCGCCTGGGTGGTTCAGTTGGTTAAGAGTCTGCCTTCGGCTCAGGTCATGATCTCAAGGGTTCTGGGATGGAGCTCCGTGTCAGGCTCCCTTCTCAGTGGAGAGTTGGCCTGTCCCTCTCCCTCTGCCCCTCCCTCACCCCCTCCATTCATGCTACTGCTTTCTGTCAGTAAATAAAATCTTTAAAAAAAACCACACACACATAAGTAGGGGTGCCAAGATAGCTCAGTCAGGTAAGCATCTGACTCTGAATTTCAGCTCAGGTCTTGATCTCAGGGTCATGAGTTCAAGCCTGCATTAGGTTCCGTGTCGGACGTGGAACTTATTAAAAAAAAAAAAAAAAGACAAAAGGAGAAGGAGAATAAATAACCTGCACACTCATCCCTTTGGTCTTTTCTGAGCTCCTTGGGGCCAGAACTGTGTCCTATTCATCATTGTGTCGCCAAGGCCCACCTCGGTACCTAACACACAGTAAGTGCTCAAGAAATGGGAGTTTGATGATTGAACTAAAGACTGAAGTATGGATATACGATAAGACTGATTGTACACCCTTGTGCACAAATCCATCTCCTAAATCCAGATACTTGGCTTTCAATGAACTATTATCACAGCTACTCAACAAGAGAGCATTGTAATTATCTTCATTTCAAAGATGAGGAACCACAGGCTAAGTGAACGTAAGTGATGTGCCCGAGGTGAGACATTCTCAGGGCGGGGCCTCGGGTAACACCAGATGAAGTCACCAAGCAAGCCTACGGAGGGCTCCCATCAAAGTGAAAGTACCCAGTGCTCACTGGGGAGGAGCAGGGCAGCCTCAGCAAAGCAGGGCTGCTGGACAGCTTACTGCTCTCTTAATCCCCTCAGCCAGCCTCACTGCCTCCCACACGGCCCTGGCCTGCGTGGCACCAGCCCTGCCCCACAGGGCACAATGAATTAGATGGATTAGCTAATTTTCTTCCTGTTTGACAGATGAGGACATTGGACTCCCACAGAAGCTAGGCTTCTTATCTGGGGCTGCACAGCTCAAAGAGAGGGAAGTGGAGATTAGAACCAGGGGTACCAATTCCTAGTCTGGTGGGAAATGGGACCCCACGTTTCCATCAGTGCCAACTTCCCAAATTATCAGTGTGATTGTCTGGAAGCAGGACCAAGATGAATATTGCTCTGCTCAAGATACATCTTTCCACCACCCCCAGCCAACACATTGCACTCCTGGAACGTTTGCCACTGAGGGTGCCCAGTAGGGTTGCTGGCCGCAGATTTCAGTAGCACTTGGGAGAGAGGAGGTATTAATAACAATTTGGGGGTGAGCTGCATTATGGACATCACCACCCCTCCATTTGCTCCTCTAGGAGCAAGCAGCCCAGCCTTGGCCCCACAAATGGAAGATGCCAGTAGTAGTCAGGTGACCAACCATCCTGGTTTGCCCAGGTCCATCCTGGCTTAGGACTGAAAATCCTGCATTCCAAGAAATTTCTCAGATCCCAGCAAACAAGGGCAGTCATCCACTCATCATACCTCTGTTGTTTCTCATGGGCCATACATTTGAAGACTTTCAACGGAACCTGGGAGAAGGGGGAAACGGGGAGGAACCAAATGCAGGAACCAAATGGAGGAACCATCTGTCCCATTGGATCCAACCCAGCAAAGAGTGACTTGTTGAGTGCCACATTGATGACAGGCACTGCACCATGTCCTGCCTGGACATGGGACAATCACTGTTCCTGGGCACTCACCGCACACCAAGTGGAAGGGCTTCTTGTGGATGGACACTTTAATCCTCACAGCACCCCTAAAAGGTAGAGCCTTATTATTCTTCCGCTCACAGAGAGAGGTCTGAAGCACAGGGAGATGAAGGAGTGTGCCTGAAGCTAAACGGCAGAAACACGGTTTGAGCCTGGCAGAGGGACTCCAGGGTGTGTGTCCTCCCTTCTTTGCACTGACTCCCAGAGGGGAGATCGAGGCTCCCTCGTCACTCAAGAAGCCACAGCCTGGTGCTTGCTTTGGCAGCCCACATACTAAACTTGGAACGATACAGAGAAAATGAGCATGGCTCCTGAGCAAGGATGACATGCAAATTCATGAGGCATCCCATATATTGTGCAGTTCCCCAGGGAGCTGCCCGCCTTTGTGGATCAAGTCAGAGGAAATGATATGAGTCAAAGCCCAACATGCGGCAGTGAATCATGCAATTGTGACATTTCACTGAAAGAGTATTCCTGTAAAGCAGACTATGACATGTGAGTGAAGCTGAGTTACACCTGAAATTTTATTTTTTATTTATTTAATATTTTTTATATTTTATTTTTTCAGTGTTCCAAGATTCATTGTTTATGTACCACACCCAGTGCTCCATGCAATACGTGCCCTCCTTAATATCCATCACGAGGCTCGCCCAACCCCCCCACTCCCGTCCCCTCCAAAACCCTCACTTTGCTCCTTAGAGTCCACAGTTTCTCATGGTTTGTCTTCCCCTCTGATTTCCCCCCACTTACTTCTCTCCATTTCCCAATGACCTCTGTGTTATTCCTTATGCTCCACAAATAAGTGAAACCATATGATAATTGATGTCTCTGCTTGACTTATTTCACTCAGCATAATCTCCCTCAGTCCCGTCCATGTTGATACAAAAGTTGGGTATTCATCCTTTCTGGTAGAGGCATAATATTCCATTGTATACATGGACCATATCTTTTTTATCCATTTGTGTGTTGAGGGCATCGTGGTTCTTTCCACAGTTTGGTGATTGTGGCCATTGCTGCTATGAACATTGGGGTACAGATGGCCCTTCTTTTCACTACATCTGTATCTTTGGGGTAAATACCCAGTAGGGCAATTGCAGGGTCACATAGTAGCTCTATTTTTAATTTCTTAAGGAATCTCCACACTGTTTTCCAAAGTGGCTGCACCAAATTGCATTCTCACCAACAGTGTAAGAGGGTTCCCCTTTCTCCACATCCTCTCCAACGCTTTTTGTTTACTGTCTTGTTAATTTTGGCCATTTTTAACTGGTGTAAGGTGGTATCTCAATGCGGTTTTGATTTGAATCTCCTTGATGGCTAATGATGATAAACCCTTTTTCATGTGTCTGTTAGCCATTTGTATGTCTTCTTTGGAGACGTGTCTGAAATTTTATGTGCAAACATGTCATTTCTACCTATGTCAGAAATGAGAAAATGTCAACTTAAAAAGAAAAGAAGAAGCCAGTAGCCTGGAAAGGAGGACAAGGCAAAGGCTCAGATCCCTGAAGGAGTAGTAACGATGCTGTGTTGGTTGACATTCTACAGAGCAGTGGTCATGGACCAGGTCTTTGCTCAAACTCTAAGGAAAATGTCTCCTTTAACCCTTATTAGCTGGAGCACAGGACTGTCATCTCCATTTACAGAGCATTAGGCTGGCTGAGAGAAGTCAAGGACCTTACCCAAAGTCACATAGTGGATGGAGCTGGGATACAAAAACAGAAGTGTAATCCCATGAGCGGGCAGAACTGGGCCGTAGGTGGGATCGCAGGCTGTTAACCATGGGCATGCTAGATGAGGGCCAGCTGAGAGCCACAGACTAAGTGCCCTGGACATCTAGCCATCCCTGTCTTCTTATTTTTTTCTGTGTCTGCCAAGAAGTACAGGACTCCAGTCTTGAGCCCTGGGCTGTGCTCGGCTCTCAGCCCCCAGAGCCGCTGGCGGCTACCATTGTTTTGCCAGGCGATGAACCAGTGGCCACCCTGAGAGCTTCACAAAGCAGCACAGAACTCTCGATCCTGCCACAACGTTATTTCTTTTAAGAATAAATGCCACAGCATGGTGCTATTTTAGGAAGCAGCTTTCCACACCCACCCCAGCCTGTCCCTCAATTGTTGGTGTTCGCTTCCTGCTCCACTGAAAGGCTGAAAACACATTCTCTACCTCTACACAACCGAAGCAGGGAGGAGGCCTCGTCAGGCCCTGCCCTGTCACGGAGCTGCACGCTCGGGTTATTATCACTGCATAACCGATAGGCGTGATTAGTACGGACGTATTCCAGAAGCAACTGGTTTAGAAATCATTCACGGGGGTCTGCTACCTGAGAGCACGCGCTGCTCTTCTGCCCACAGAGCTCTCCGGCCTGCAGCAGGTTCTGGGAGCTCCGCCTCCCCCTGGAGAGCCGCACTGCAGGCCTGCAGGGCACAGGAAAGCTTTTCTGAGAGGATCCCGGCTCCTTTATCAGCTTGTACTGAGTGAGAGGATAACTGAGGCTTCTAGACTGTGGGCTGGTCTCTGAGAGGGGCCGTTTTATCCAACCATCAAGAAGGTAGTGGGCTGCAGTGAGAACTGGGTTATTTAGAAAACAGAAGGAACCCCACTGCTTCACTCACAACCAAAAAGGGGAGATTAGACCCAAAGCAGAGGGGAGAGTTACCTCTCTGCAGAGAAATAAAGCCACCCTTGAAGGTACTAAGGCCATGAAGGACCCTAACCTAGTGTGTATTAGAGCTAGAGAATCTGACAGAAAATCAGTGATGTCTGTCCTGATCGAGCAGAGAACACTGGAGCTCATGTGTGATGCTGATGGTGATTAAAAGCCATGATCAGCATTATTTACCACACGCTGGGTACTCATCTGGTTAGTTGACACATGCATTTAATATTTGTGACAACCCTGTGAGGTTAAGTTTTATTATCAGCTCCAGTTTACAAATGTGGAATATAAGACATAGAGAGGTTAAGTTTGTTACTCCAGATCACACAGCTGGAAAACGGTGGAGCTGGAATTTAAACATGGGAGGTCCAGGGAAAACTGTGGGAGCGTGCCTACAGGGTATTTTTAGGGGTGAGTATTATAAAACTGTGAAGTCTTATGAGGTTCTGGGTGATTACTAGCCAATTGTAGAATATGAGTGTTGGTTTTCCTTTCTTATAACAAAGCTGCCTTCAGGGCCCTATACACAGGTGGCCAGAGGCCCAAGGCAGTGCTCAGTAGAGAGAATTCCCTAGGTTCTAACTGGGAGCTGGAGCAAGAAAAGTGTGTCATCTCTGACGTAAAAGTATTTAACACCAGGTTACCTACAAATACACTGAGCTGCCCTCCTTCATGACCTGGATGAAACAACTCTCTTTTATCTACCCAAACCAAAGGTTTCCTTCATCTCTGCAAAGAAGGCGAAAGAGCGGGAGTCACCACCCCACACACCACCCCAAGGCTGAATTGGAAGAGTCCTAACTGGTGGCCTCAAAAGGATCACACTTGTGTTTGTTTCTCCTATGACCTTGTGCCTTCTCCTTACTGGCCACCGCCTAAATCGGGTCCAAGAACAACGTGCCCCGGGTTTGCCTGGGCCCTTCTTCAAAAGCCAGCTCATTGTCTCCTGGGGCGGTCAACCCGATGTATCTCCACTCTCTGAGCAACACTCTGTTCACCTCAAGAAAGAGCCCCGGAATCAGAAGCAATATTCATGATCCACTTCCAAGTTTAAAAACCAGGTTACAAAGTCATATGTAAGTTGTGATAGTATTTGAGGAGGAAAGAATAACAATGACAGTTAATGTTTGTTGAGGGCTTACTGTGTGCCAAGCACAGTGCTACCTCTTCCGTTAATCTTCAGAGCGACACACTGAGGCAGGAATGGCATGAGGTGGATGTAAAAACCACTCAAGGTGTAAGTGACAGGGTCAGGAGTGAAACCCAGGCTGACAGACCACACGCCCCTGTTCACATCTCCGTTTTACCTTTCAGCCTCCCAACTCACCTTGTCTCAAGAATGTTTGTAAAATAAAAAGCTTCTCTTCAAACAGAGAGCAAGTTTCCCCCGCAGAGCAAAGGGCAGGCTTGCTTACTGGCCATTGGAAAAGCTCTACATTCCTTAAGCTCAAGCTTCTTCTCTAGAATACAACCCACCAGCTGTGCAAGTGTCCCCTGGCCCTGGCACTCTCACCTCATGAGAAGCAGGGCTCAAGGGACATGCTTCGCATTGCTTGTCCTCTAGCTGCAGCAACTGCCATGAGTAATAAGCTATTCTTTGTTTCTAACCCAGGAGTCTCATGTCTTTTCCCAGCATCCGTGAAACTCGCAGCCTAACCCATTACATTGTAAGGAGGGTGACATTTGAGACACGTCGTAGTGTGTAATGCTTAGCCAGTGGTTCTAAACATGATATACTCCACTGTTCTCAATCGGAGGAGCACTGTCCATTTTATTCCCTCAGCCGAGGTCTCTCATCCTGTCATGATTTTTTTTGTGTGGATAATTTTGATGAATTATGAGTGAAAAAAAAAGTGTATACCAGTCACCATACTCCTTCTGCTGAAAGTAAATTAAAGGATAATCCCATCAGCCATTAGAAGGTAAGAATCATGGAAGCTCGAGGCTCCTTCATGAAAATGGTTAGGAATCAAAGGTACAGATCAACAGGAAATAAGGGATTGGTTAAAATTCTCTGAGATAAAAAGAGCTCTAAAACACAATTGTGCTTAGGAAGCATTGGTCGAAAGTTGCAGAAAGAATTGAAGAAAATAAAATAGCCTATGTATGCCACTGAGAATGTGTCCTTGCTACAAACGTGCCAGGAAGACCAACTATCACTGATTTCACATAGAGTTTCTACCCTCAGGAATGCATTTTCTAAATAGGATATGCCTTCATTCCATCATATGAAACAGATAGGTACTAAAGAATTTGTAAACTGGTGTCTATCTCTAATCCTAGCCCTGCAATAGGACAAGAGAGCATGTATAAATGTGGCCATATCGAGATTTTTGTCCTAAAATATTGCTGGAGAAAAAAAGTTAATTGTAAGGTTTAGTCCAAAACATTTCACACAACTATTGCCTTAATTTTTTTCCAGCTATGGGAAGTCATGACCGTGTTACAAATAATAAGCTCTGAAAATAGAGCATTCAAGGAAAGAATTCAGTAATCGAAATGCACGGCAAGATTAATCTGACTCAAAGTTTCCAGTACAAACAATCACGGTGCTACCTGGTAACCAGGCATAAGCAAATCATGTAAATGAATGTAATTAGTATGACTTTGATACAAAAGCGAAGAGTTTGCAATTCTTTTCTGGTCTCTGATTTTTAAGATCCTTTACTCTAACCTCATGCATTCTGAAGAACACAGAAGGGTACA